CATTGCCGGATGGTGGTGCACGCCTCTAATCCCAGCACTCATGAGGCTGAGGCAGGAGGATCGCTGTGAGTTTGAGACCAGCCTGGGCTACATAGTGCGTTCCGGATCAGTCTCGACTACATAGTGAGACCTTATCTCAAAAAACAAACCAAAAAAAAAAAAAGAGACAACATTACCCCTCAAAGCAGCCTTGCTCTAAACAAACTAAGCCAACTGCTCCTGCCACTTTGTGAAGCATTTTTGGAAGTCCTCTTTCATGAGTATGTTTAGAAGGTGTGATAAAAATTATAGTTTCATCCAGCAGAAATGTGGGCTCATGAAAACATTATTACTCTATCCTAATTCACCTTATTCGAGGATCTGTCACTGTGTAACCTCTGGCTCTTCAAGTCAAATGACCATGAAAGGTAAATGTTTTGAATCAATTCAGAACATCAAGGCAGCCAAGGCAGTGCAACTAGAGATTCGTGAAAGAGGACTTCCAGAGCTGCTTCAGAAAGTGGTGAGAGGGCCAGGGATGTAGCTCAGTGGCGCAGCACCTGCCTGGCAAGTGCAAGATCCTGAGTTTGTTCCCTGGTACAAAAAAGAAAGGAAAGAAAAGAAAGAGCGGGGAGGGATTACTAAATCAGTCCGATGAGTGGTTTGGCACCACCTGAATCCCAGCAGCCTGGATACAACGTAAGGGACAGAAGGAGGTTTGTCTTCCCACTTTGCTTGCTTGCTTTGCCACCTCCTGCCTGCCATGAATTCTCTGCGATGTCTGTCTGCCATGAGCCGCCCTGCCTTGGAGCCAGTTGAAACCTCTACAAACTGTGAGCTAAATAAACCTTCCTTCCTTTAACTTTGGGTGCGGGATATTTGTCTCAGCAATGAGAAAGTAACTAACACACACTATATTTCTGTATCACATTTTGTACATTAGACTCTTACTTTATTTTATCCACCCGGTATTCCTGCAAAATATTACCAATTTACTGATGAGAAGCAGACTTACAGAGGCTAGGAGACGGCAGGAGGAGCGTTCAGATGTTCCTCATCCAGAGCCCCATCCTCTCCTCCACGTGTGTCCACATGTACGTTCTCACTGACTTCTGCCTGATCCCAGATCCTAGGCTGGGCTCTCACCGCCTCCCCACCCTTCCCCTGTGCTTCTGTCCCAAGGGCTACGACGGGCAGGAGAAGGTCTACATCGCGACCCAGGGCCCCATGCCCAACACCGTATCGGACTTCTGGGAGATGGTGTGGCAGGAAGATGTGTGTCTCATCATCATGCTCACGCAGCTCCGCGAGAGCAAGGAGGTAGGAGACAGAGCCACGGACCCTGGTGCGCACACGCGTACGTACGTACGCACTCACGTAGGCGCGCGGGCACGCATGCGCACACGAGCTCGGTGCCTGAGAGGGTCCCTGTCTGCTGACCGTACCGCTCAGCAAGGTTCTCGAAACCCCAGGGAGGCTGTCCATAACCAAAATCTGAAATGGGTTGAGCACCTCGTCTTTAGGAGTCAATTTCAGAGGAGCCAGGCCCCAGTTGCTGACCCAGTCCCTCGGGTCAGGGGATGGGGTGCCTCTCTGCTGGTCCTGCGGGGAGTGATGGCCTTCTGACTCCCGCTCCCTCCCGCCTAGAAATGTGTCCACTACTGGCCCACAGAAGAGGAAACTTATGGACCCTTCCGGATCCGCACCCAGGACATGAAGGAGTGCCCGGAATACACTGTGCGGCAGCTCAGCGTCCAGGTACCACTTCCTGGGGCCAGGCCCAGGCTGCTGGAAGCTGAGCCACGTTCTGCGTCTCTGGAAATCGGGCCTGGACCTTCAGTAGGAGCCAACTTTGCTTACCTAAACCTTGAACCCTAAGAGAGGCGCTTGAGCCACTGAGGAAAGAGAATCGTGGGTATTTACCTCAGGGAACTTCTAGTGAAATGGTGCAGAGCGAGAAAATCAAACAGCAACTATCAAAAGGCAGCTCCCACTTAGGCTGAGTGCTGACAAGGGAGGGATCCAGCAGTGTGTGGAGGGAGTGAGAGGAGATCTTACCCTCGAAGGTGCTCTGAAAGTGCTTCCTACTATCCCAGCACTTGGGGAAGCTGAGACAGGAGGATCACCATGAGTTTGAGGCCAGCTGGGCTTCATAGAGAGACCCGGTCTCCAAAAAAAAACAGTAAAAATGCATAGCGTTTTTCTTTTAAAAAAATAAATATTATTTTTTAAAATAAATAAAAAATAAATATTATTATTTTATTCCTTTCCCCCCTCAAGCCCCCCTCCCCTCCCTATGTACAGAAGCTTTGTTTCCATTTTTCCCTTTTCACTTTTTCTTGTCTCTTTCTTCCTCCCTCCTCCCTTGTTCCCCTTCCCATTTGAACACTTTGTTCCCATTTTCCAACACCCATTGTACATTTCAACCCTTATTTCCACTTTCAGTTTCTCACACCAGAGAAACAGTGAGGTACTTAAACATGTATGTATGATTTACTTCACTTAAGAGTGTGATTTTAGGAACCATCCATTTAGCTAGTAATGTCTCAAGCTCATCCTTCTTTATGGCAGAATAGTACTCCATTATGTTTTTTTTAAAACCCACATCTTCTTTATCCACTCATCAGTTGATGGGCATTTGGGCTGCTTCCAAGATTTAGGTATTATAGACTGTGCTGCTATAAACATGGGTGTGCCTGTAACACTGTGGTGTGATGCTTTTAATTTTTTCATGAAGCTACCAAGAAGGGAAAGAGCTGGGTCAAATGGAACCTCTAGTTTTAGTTCTTTGAGGAATCTCCACACTGATTTCCACAGTGGTTACACCAGTCTGCACTCCCACCAACAGTGGAGAAGGGTCCTTTCTCCCCACAGCCCCTCCACATTTGTTATTGGTTGGTTTCTTGATAGCAACCATTCTTTCTGGAGTGAGATGAAATCTCAGCATTGTTTTAATTTGCATTTCACGAATGACCAGTGATGTTGAATGTTTTTTCATATATTTATTTGCCCTTCTAATTCTTCATCTGAGAAATGTGTTTTTATTTCAGATGCCCATTTTTGCATTGGGTCTTTAAATTGTGGGGGTCTGATTTTTTTTTTTGAGTTCTTTATATATTCTAGATAGTAGTCCTTTATCAGAATAGCTGGTAAAACATTTTTTTCCACTCTGTGGGTTGTCTTTTCACTCTGTTGGTTTCTCTTGCTGTGCAAAAGGTTTTTTACTCTCTTCTAGCGGATTTAGTGATTCTGATAAAATATTTAGATCTTTGATCCATTTTAATTTTAGGGTAGTACATGGTGAAAGATACTGGTCTAGTTTCAATCTTCATCATGTGGAAATCCAGTTTTCCAGCACCATTTATTAAAGAGCCTGTCTTCCTTCCAGTGAAGGTGTTTGGCTCCTTTGTCAAAGATAAGGTGGCTGAGTATGTCTGGAGTAGTTTCTGCAAATAGTGTTTTACATTTTTTTTTCTTTTGCATTTTTGAGACAGGGTCTCACTATGTAGTTGAGACTGACCTGGAACTCACTATGTAGCCCAGGCTGGTCTCGAACTCACAGCAATCCTCCTGCCTCAGCCTCCCGAGTGCTGGGATTACAGGTGTGCGCCACCACGCCCGGCTTGTGTTTTACATTTTTTGAAGCATTTCTCTATCCATTATTTTCCAATCATCCGAAGGAAATCAGTATCATATCACCATCCCCATTTTCTAGGTGAAGAAAATGAGGCTAAGGGACTTACCCAAATGTGCTGGTTAGAGGAGAGACAGATTTGAAGTTGGGTCTTTCCCTCTCCCAGGACAATGTTTCTCCTGGCATTTGAGAGTCGGGGGTAGTGGAGGACAAGATTGTCCTGCTGTGATGCTCCCTAGGATGATCCCAGCCCTCATCCTCCGCTGACACCAGGAAGCCAGGCGGTGTCCCCACCATGACCCTAGGTCTCACACTGTCTCTGCTGCAGCTCCAGGAGAAATGCCGCTCAGTAAAGCACATCCTCTTCTCGGCCTGGCCAGACCACCAGACCCCGGAATCGGCTGGACCCCTGCTGCGACTGGTGGCCGAGGTGGACGAGAGCCCGGAGACAGCCATCAACTCTGGGCCCATCGTGGTCCACTGCAGGTATGGGCTCCTCTGTCCCCCTCCCCTTATGTGGGCCTCTCCTGGAAAGGGCCTGAGCAGCCTAACGTCATCCATCAAGTGCTCTGGACTCAGGAGCTCCTTTGTGCAGAACCCGACATCTGGCCGGATCCCCAGTCTCAGAGAGGAGAGGGAAGAGCAGGAGGCTCTTGGTCAGCTGTGGGAGGAGATAAACATGATCCCTGCTGATGGGGAACTCATCTGTTCATTCCACAACTATTTCCTGAAAACCTATTATTGTCAGGAGCCATGTCAAACGCTACAGACAAGGCAGTGAACAAAAGCGTTCGCTTTCATCCCTGACAGGTTTACAACCTGCTGAGAATGACAGCAGATTAAACCAGGACACAGTGCAGTGACAGCGAGATGGGGTGGGTGGGGAATCAAGTGGCCTGACCCAGACCTCAGGCACAGAAGAGTTTCCAAGAGAAGTGACATCCAGCTACCCTAAGACTTGAAAGCCGATTAGCTAAGTGACAAGGGTCAAGGGGAGGCATCCTAGGCTGTGGACCAGCATATGAACCCCCGAAAAGAAATTCAAACATTGATTCATTGCTGGGAGCAGAGCTGGAAGGTGGGTGGGGTCTCATGTGGGGACAGTGATGGGAGTGAGTCTGGCAGGCAGGTGATGTCCCCACAAAGAGGGGCCTTTTAGGAACTGTTAACACACCTGAATGTGCCCTTCCTTCCTCCCTCCCTTCCTTCTTCTTTCTGTGTGGTGCAGGAGATTGAACCCAGGGCTTTTACACTGAGCTACATTACAGTCTTTAATTTTTTTGTCGTGTTTAGAGACAGGGTCTCACTTAAGTTCGCACTGGCCCTGAACTCATTATGTAGCTCAGGCTGGCCTTGAACTCATGGCACTCCTCCTGCTTCTGCCTCTTGGCTGGGATTACAAGTATGAGCCACCACGCTGGGCTCGCTGCCAGTCTTTTTAAAAAATTTTTTTCGGGGGGGGCATGATCTTACTAAATTGACTGGGCTGGCCTCAAACTTTCAGTCCACCTGTCCCAGCCTCCCAGGCTGCCGGGATTACAGGCATGTGCCGCTGTGCACCCCCTCCTGGGCTTGAGCCCAGGAAACTTGAGATACATCCTCAGCCTTATTTATCTATTTATTTAGACAGAGCGTTGCTAAATTGCCCTAGCTGACCTTGAATTCACGATCTTCCTGCCTCTGCCTGCCGAGTGCTGGGATTGCAGGCCTGGGCCACCTCACACAGCATGAATTTGCCACTTCAAAAGAATGCTTTGGAGCTGGGGGTGTGATTTGGTGGCAGAGCCCCTGCCTAGTATGCACAGAGCTCTGAGTTTGATCCCCAGCACCGTGAGCTCTGTGTTGGTTATAGAGCAGTTTAGGGTAGAGTTGGGGTGGGGTGAAGATTTAAAACAGGGAAACACATGGGAGTGGAATTCCCAAAGAAACCAAACACAGAGTTAGGAAGCACAGGTGGAGGGGCACCTGGACCTGCGTGCTGGGAGCCACCAGTGGTTCCTCTCAGAGGCTCACAAAGGACTTGCTAAAGAACAGGAGGTCAGAGAGAGCTTCGAAATAAAGAAAGGGCAAGACAGAGAGGACCAGAGAGGAGACATGCAGGCAGGGAGTAGAGGGGGCTACTGTGGCAGTGGAGCTGGGAGGAAGTCAGGGTTAGATAAGGAGGGCGGGAGCGGTCAGCCAGTGCAAGAGCTGGGCACTGTCCTGGAAACCGTTGGAGACTGAAGCAGAAGAGAGATCAGCAGCGTGTCCACAGGAACCGGAAGGTGACGTGGCCTAGGCCTAGGGCAGGGCTGGTTCCAGACAACCTGCTCCAGGGCCCTCTGTCCTCTGCCCCCCGCAGGCCCAGGGCTGCTGGAATCTGGTCTCCTCCGCCCCCAAACACAGCACCTGCGGCCGCTCTCATAGCCCCTGCTCACCTCCCTCCCTTGTCCCCTGGTCACCAGCGGCCTCCCCATCTCCTCCCCTGGCTGTTCCCAGTGCAGGGATTGGCCGGACCGGCTGCTTTATTGCCACCCGAATTGGCTGCCAGCAGCTGAAGGCCCGAGCAGAAGTGGACATTCTGGGCATCGTGTGCCAACTGCGGCTGGACAGGTGGGTCCAGGTAAACAAGGGCCCACATTAACGAGCGGCTTTGGTGCCTCTGAGCTGCTAGGCACATCAGCATCCTTGAGGAAAGAAGGACTCTTGCTTAGAGAATTGTTTCTTTTGGGGTGTGTGTGTGTGTGTGTGTGTGTGTGTGTGTGTGTGTGTTAGAGACTGAACTCAGGGCCTTTGCAGTGAACTACATTCTCAGCCCTTTTTTATTTTTATTTTGAGACAGGGTCTTGTTAAGACGCCTGGCTGGGCTCAAACTTGTGATCTTCTTTACCTTGGCTTCCCAGAGTTCTGGGATTGCAGGCTGCACCACTGCACCTAGGTTTTGTTTGTTTGTTTTCATTGAGTTCATTGGCACTTTTGAAGTACACAGTCCAGTTACATTCATCATCGGGATCTTGTACCTTTACATGACAGGTCTTGGTTCTCATTTTTTCCCCATTTCCCTGCCCTCCCTTCACCTCCTCCAACTTCCCCTATTTTCAAAGACTTTATTTCCATTTTTTCCTATTCTCGTATTTTTCTTTCCCCTTATTTCCTTTCCCCTACCCTTCCCCCTTCCCCTACACCTTTAGCCCTTTTTTCCTATTTCACATTATCAGTTATACAGTTTGGATCTTATTTACACTTTTAGCTTTTCACACCAAATAAACTATTCAGCATTTACACATGTGTCTTATTTATTTCACTTAAAGAGTATAGCCTCAATATGCATCCATTTTCCTATGAATGACTCTAGTTTCTCATTCTTTATGGCTGAGTAGTACTCCATTTTATAGAAAAACCACATCTTCTTTATCCAGTCTCCAACTGATGGCAATTGGGCTGTGTCCAAGTTTTAGATCTTACAAACTGTGCACACCTGGGTTATTTTGCAGTTAATACCTGGCGAGAATTTCTGTCTGGAATTTTTGATTGGAGGCCTAGAATTAAATATTCCACTCTATGAATTTATCCTGAGTTTTCCTTTTTTTTTTTCCTCTTTTTTCTTTTTTTCTTTTTCTTTCCTAAATGTCCTACTCAGAGGAAAACTAGAAGGCCATGTAGCTGGCTCTAGATATGAGGAAGACACACAACATAAACAGATGCTCACAGAGTTTAGGGTCAGAGAATCAGGATTCAAATGTGACTTGTCTCCCACAGAGCTGTCACTGTCTCTCTAGCCCCCTTCTCTTTCTTTTTCCAGTCCCGGGGATTGAATGGAGCTGCATTCTGAGCCCTTGTTTGTTTGTTTTTTAAATTTGGGGGCGGGTTGGAGACAGGGACTCACTATGTAATACAAACTGCTCTGGAATTCACTGTGTAGCCCAGGCTGGTCTCGAACTCACAGCAATCCTCCTGCCTCAGCCTCCTGAGTGCTGGCATTACAGGCGTGCACCAGCCACCACACCCAGCTGTATTTTAAATTTTAATTCGGAGACAAGATCTTGCTAAATTTCCTGGGCTGACTTCTAACTTGCAGTCCTCCTGCCTCAGCCTCCCAAGTTGCTAGGATTGGAGGCATATGCCATGGAGTCCATAGCTCCCCCCACCGCCCTGTTTTTAATCTAGAGAGAGATTGGTTCCTCCTTCCCCAGGGAGCTGCTAGAAGGAACAGTTTAACTTATGTGAAAGCATTTTGGAAAATGGGAACTAGTACTATATACAAATGTATGGAATTGTTATTTTTACTTTTGGGATTGTAGAAAAGAGGAAATTTGGAGGCTTCCCTGAGCAATCAGGACTGGTTTTGCTCGGGGACTGAGTAGATGGGGGAAGACCAAGCATCACTGCCTGAGCGAGGAAGGGGGGCTTCCCGTGTCACAAAGCCTGGGGGCAGCAAGAAGAAACTAGAAATGCAGAGGAGGGACACCCTGGAGAGAAAGTCAGGACTTTCCCAGCGGCCCATGGGATGTCCGACCCAGCTGTCCAGCCAGCACCTGACCCTCCTTCGCTCATGGTTTGTTTTTCCTTGCAGAGGGGGGATGATCCAAACCACAGAGCAGTACCAGTTCCTGCATCACACTTTGGCCCTGTACGCAGCGCAGCTGCCCCAGGAGCCCAGCCCCTAACCTCCCCACTGCCAACCTCCCTCCAGGACTGGGGAAGTGGGCCGTGTGACCTGGGGTGCCCCAGCCTGCTCTGGTGAGGGGAAGACATCTCAGCCAAGGGGAGGAGCCAGGCTCCTGGTCTTGCCCATGGCCCCCTGGAAGCATGAGGAGCCTCTGGTGCCTGAATTTAAAGAAGGGAGCTGTCAGACTGAGAAAGAAGCCCAGATGCACTGATCTTCTCCAAGATCCTCATCTATGACATGGACACAAGTGCTTTGCTGCCACGAGGGAAGCGGCCCAGAAAGCTCCCAGAAGTCATCCCGGCTCTGTCCCCTCTTCCTCAGCCTCATCCTCCACCCAGTCCCTGCCCAAATGTAGGCCAGAGGCAGGAGCTGGGAAAAGTCCAGTCTTGACCTCGGTCAGATTCTCAACATCTTAGCAACTGTGCCCCACACATCTGTGATTGCTGGATGAACTCCCCAGAAGAGAATCAGGACCCAGACTGGCCCTGCTTTCACAGCTGTGAACTGGGAGGAGACCACGGAGTTGACCAGGCCTGGCAGTAGAAATCTTTAGAAGAGGGAACATGGGGGAATCATTCAGAGGCTGGGAGAGCTGACCCTGCTTCCCTAGTCACCCCAGCCACGCTCTTGGGTCCCACGCTGGGTCCCCACTTTGCTTCCTGATACCCAGGAAGTGCCAAAGGTAAAGGAGAGGAAATGAAGAGTTGGTCTGCTTTGAGAAAACCCATACCTGCCGTAATCCCAGAAACCTGACTCCTCTCATCCTTCTTGGCATCAGCCAATCCCCATGGGGCCCCTGATCTATCTCAGGGCTGAACTGCACCCCACAGGAAGCTACCCAAGCCCTCAGCCTTCCGTGGCCCCAGACAGGATGCCTCTGGGGATGCAGGTAAGGCACCCTTCTCCACAGCCCTCAGCAGGCATCTGCCTGGACTGGGCTCGGCTCCTGAGGAACCCTTGTCTTGGAGAGTGGCCGAGCTCCCCCTCGGTGACATCTCAGTGCTGCCACTGAGGTACTTTGCATGCTTCTGCCTGGCCTTACTGAGGAGCTCCATCTCTGGGCCCTGGGAGGGCCTCCCTTGCACTCTGCCTGTGGAGGTTCTGTCTACTCCCAAGCTCAGTGGAGGCTCTCAAGTGCCTGGTCCTGCTGATCATACTCAGTCTGCAGGGAGGCAGCTGCGTCTCCCTGTGGGCACAGCTCCCCACACTGTCACCCACTGTCCCTGTCCAGAGCCCAAAGGGTACAAGCTCTTGAAAAGTAACCAAGTGGAAAAAATAAAGACTTCCTGTCCCTTCCTTTCCTTTTTCCTTCTTCTCAGGACTCTGGGAATAGCAGATACAGCAGGAGTTCCTTAGGATCTAGGGAAGGACTTACAAAGGGTGGAAAACTATAGACAGATTGTGCTTAATGCACCAGATTCTTTGAGTCCAAGACTGTGGTCCTCCACTTTTTGACCATCTGTGGTCACCTAACTCTGGAGTAGGCTTGGCATAGGATTGCTATTAATGGTTTGGTCACCTTCGACTATAGACAATAGATTCCATGTGACTACAGTGACAAACCCCAGGGAGCACCGCCCATAGGTTGGGGCCTGCTGGGGCGATCAGCCTTCGGGACTGAGCAGGTCTCAGTACCTGCGGGGTAGGGGACAGGACGTCTTGGTAGGCCCCACACCACCCACCAACAGTTCTCCCTGAGAAAATTCGGTTTTTTTTGTTTTTTATCAAAACAGTGCACATTTGCCTTTGCCACAGTCTTCCTCACTGGAAAACCCCTGCTAGGACTGTCTGTTTCAGTACCGTAGTGACACTGACAACCAGAATCAAGTTCAAACGGCGATTTCACCCAGGCCAGAGGCTTCCAAGCAAGTGGATAAATTGTAGTTAACAAATCAAGATGGAGAATTCCAAGACTCTTAATGCAACTGTTACTGTTCCCGGGTCCATTCTGGAGGGTGGGATGCTGAGAGGCAAGGGTTCAGGAAACAAAAAGCCTCCATTGCCTCCCCTTCCCAGACATCTCATCTTCGTCCCCGAAAGTGTGTGGACCACCCCGCTTCCCGAGCAAGTGCCTGGGTGAACCCGGACCTCACCGACCACCACCCTTGAGACAGCAGGGGCGGAGGTAGGGCGCGGTAGCCCTGCGGGAGAAAATACCAGTCCGCCCTCCTCCCCAGGGCCGCGCCGCCCGGCC